GGATTGGGAACGTTTACTATTAATTCCTATGGTTAAATGACTTCAGAACCATTTTTTTCAATTGAGGCTATTGATATAACAGCCATGCTAATGTTTATAGACAGAGAACTTCACAGAAGTGAAGAAAAGCTCGTTCAGTGTTGTTCCAATTGTCTAAATTACATCTGCATATTATTGGCCTGTAATGTCATGCACTGTGTCCCATGTTTTTGTTCTATATATGACTATTCCACAAGACTTGATAACTTCTGAAATTTTCTAATTCTTTTGTGTATCAGTGTGGTCCTGTTTGGTTGTATTATCCATCACCTACTTGTTTTTCAGCTCCCCAAACAGCCAGGTCATATGTTAAAAAAGGTAAAATGACTGAACTATGTGGGGTTTTTTGCCCCTTCATGTCAGTACGTTCTGAAGATTTATAGGTAGAGGAGCTGTCAGAATGTAACCAATACTTGAGGCCTCATGTTAGTCAGAATAACCATTTGTTTTTATTGTGATGCTGATATTATATGACTGTGTGCCTTTAAAGATATTAAAATAGGGAAACTACTTAGATAAATTAAGTGATGCAGTGTAATCGGTCTGCAAGCCATTTTAAGTGCTGGAAGCCTTGTCTTTGAAGTACTATTATTTAAAGAGACAGAAGTTAACTTTTGTATTACTGTATTAATTTGGAAACAAGAAAGCTTAGTTCTTTCTGCTTACCCTGACAGTCCTCCTTACTTCTAAAAAATTACAGTATTTAAATTTATTACCTGATTACAACTGATTTTTAAGCATCCTCATCTCTAAACCATGAAAGAAAAAATAGCTCATATAATCTTATGTCATATGCAGGCATATATTACTCTCTAAGTAGTATAATCCTGTTGAATTACATCATGTCAATTTTTTTTCCACTTGGTTTGCCCCATCTTTAGCTTCTATAATGTTGGCATTTTTGCTTGTGTACATAGCAGTTCTTAAAACTATGTGCCAAATTCCTAGTTGAATATGTAGATGAGCTGTATGGCTGCCATTGCATTTTCCTCTAGGGTATCTCTGAATAAGACAAGCCAGGAATATCTTGTTCAATTTGGTTAGAAACAAATTGACCAAAAATGAAGAGTTAAGGTGTATATTTCCTCTGACTATATAAAGGAAATGATACAGTATATAGGAGAAAACTGATATTTTGATTTAGAGGTATCTATCTTGGAAATATGTACTTAAAACTGTGTGAAGAGTCTGTTTTAGTTACTTTAGCAATGCATGGTTGTTATTTTGATATATTGCATATGAAGCCTACAATGACACATAACATTCTTTCTGGAGTAAAGTTATATTTAGTTGGAAGTTATAATCAGTCTTCAATAAGTTATGATGGCTCCTTCCAATACATTTTCTCTAGGGTTACTGTAGTACTGCAGAGAAACATTAGCCAATCATTGGCAAACAAGTCATTTGAAATATTAAATTTGTTCCTTTGATGTATCAAATTCCCAGTTGTATTAAACTCATACAAGAAATACACTCATTTAATATTATTATTGAGTTTACTGCTGTCACAGAGGCTCTAGTCCCCTGCAGTAGTTCCTGTTGCACATTTTCCATATTTAGTCATCTTCAATACCGTAGAACTACATTGCTAAACTGGACATTTGGCATGTCCTTCCATTTGTCCAGGATTGCCTGCAGTCCAGCATAAACAGTACATGGAGGAGTAGCAATGGGAGATTGGTAAGCAGCTGGGAAAGCTAGGGGGAGAGAAGGAAGAATTCATTTTGAATTCTTTAACTGACAAAACTGCTTTTAGAATACAAGAAAGTATATAACTTCCATAGCAAAATGAGAGTGAAGCCATTTGCTCACAGGACAAAGTGTTGTGTTTGTGACAAAGATAGTATAATAAAGTTCAATACAAAAGTAAATCACTTGGATATGTTGCACAGGTCCTTCCCTCATCAAGCACAGCTTGCTGTTTCAGCACAAACCAGGCAAGTATCTATGTGACAGAGAGCACCCAGGGTAACTGTAAATCTTCCAAGCTCACATTGATGGAGAAACAGAAGACTTCTAATGCATTTTTCCCCAAAAATACCATCCTTATGGAACACTGAATATGAACATTATTTATTTGCATGAGCAGGACCCAGGTGAAGTGGTTTCCAGGGTGAAACACTATTCTTTAAGGAGACTTGGGTTTGACTAGCAAGGAAGAACATGTAGTGGGTTTTGGAGACCAGTTAAATATCTTGAATGCCTATTATACAACAGGAAAAATATAGTCTTTAGACAGATGTGCCTGAGCTGAAAAAGGACACTATTGGGTTTAAAAAATAGTTGCAATGGAAGAATAAGATATAGTTAACTTGTCACTGTCACAAGACTGCTTGCAACGTATCCACAAACTTTTGTACCACAAACTATGTAGTGTTGAGTGGACTCAAAAAGTTTTGATAAATCCATAATGTTTCTGACTGACATCTGAACATTTTCAAAACATTCTAAACTATGTAACCTATTTAGATTGACTGTTATAGAGCTCTACTGCAAGACCACTGTCTATTAGACCACCAGGCCTATTTGTATTCCAAGTTAAACATAAAGGGCTAAGCTCTACCATCATATATGTATAGCCCATTGACAGTGGGAGCTGGATGTGTATCTTTTCACAAAGCATGGCTGGCAGGGTTTTACCATTTTTTTTAGTAATTCCTTGTCTATCTTGAATACCACTTGCTGCAGTTTTCATTTAACATTTATTAGGCCCAAGCCTCTCTTTATTTTAAAGCAGTTTTGGAAGGCATCTCATGGTATCCACTTACTCATTACCAAATATTACGGTATTCAACCAAGATTTCAAGGTTGAACATCCAAAATGATAACTCCCAGTGACAAATTCATTAGTTTGATCTTGCTCTTTCCTTATTGTTGCTGGCAACAGGGCCGGCTCCAGGCACCAGCCCTCCAAGCATGTGCTTGGGGCGGCACCTGGAGGGGGGCGGCGCTCACCCGGGGACAGCGGAACTGCGGCCGGGCTCGCCGCCCTCCCCCCGGCACTCCGGCCGCCGGGAAGAGTGAGGCCAGGGCCGGGCTCGCCGCCCTCCTCCTGGCGCTCTGGCTGGTCAGGGAGAGTGGGGCCATGGCCGGGCTTGGCGACCTCCCCTGCCGTGCTCCCCGCCAGGGGATGGGAGGGCGGCAGGAGGCTTTTTTGCCTGAGGTGGCAAAAAAGCCAGAGCCGGCCCTGGCTGGCAATCCCATAAACTCTACTGACTTGAAATGAAGCTTTGTTAGCTTCATCAACAACAATAAAAAGATCTGAACAGTTAATTTTTTAAAGTGAAACACCTCTAAACAAAGAGTAGGGGATTGTTATAGACAAGGGGGATGGAAGCTGAACCAGTGGATTTAGCAGCAAGGGAATTGTGCTGATGGGGGGAAATTTTGCATGCTTTCTCCACCAAATTAATCAATTATCATAGGATAACTTGGACAAAACCAGGACCAGGGGAAAGAAACTAAGAGTTATATTTTAGCATTGTGAATAGGGCTTATGGAATGAGTCAACTGACCCCACACTGAACCAGAGTGGGGAGTAGAACAATACTGGGCTACAGAGGCCCTGCACCTCAGTAGGTGCAACACATGTTCCCAATAGAGGAACAGTTTAAAAAAGCAGACTGGTAGCCCAGGAGAAAGGGGAAAGATCTCCATGTGGCTCCAGGAAGCAAGGGTGATGTGAGGTGATGTGCAGGGGGTGGCAACAGCTTTGTAAAGACTGCTTTAGCTGCAAGAATTTGGTACCCCTCACCTTGGGAATTGAAACCCTGAGAGATATTGACTAACTGAATTGGAGAGTCTAAAAAGCCTGTGACCATGTCCCATTCTGGGGAGCTCTAGGCTGGTAGGAAGTGACCCAGGGGATAACAGAATTTGACATAGCTCAGTAACATGGATGGACTCTTTGAAAAATGCCCAAGGGCCTAGGGTTGGGAGCTGGTGGAGTGGGTTGGCCTGGGTCCCCCTACTCTTTGTAGTGATGAGCTCTGCGGGAGCAATTGGAACATGATGGGGCAACTGAGGCTGCAGCTTGGACTCCCTCAGGAAAAACTAGATTGGCAGAACCTATAAGGCTATGAGCCGACCACTAGCCCTGCTGATCACCAGACCTTCCTGCTACAACTGTAGATCCTGCTACAACTCAGATGAAGATTACTACAAAGGAATTAGACCCTGGCCTTGGCCCTTCCCTGTGTCTTTGGAGAAGGCTATTGCTCACAGTTGTGATTGACACAATTAGTCCTTATTAGTTTTTTTTGCACTCTCTCCTTGCACACCAAGGCAGAGGATGTGCACAAATGAGCTGACTCCCCAACACTCCACCTTTTTCTTTGCAAGCTAATGAGCTTGACCTCCTGTGAAGCAGGCACAAAAGGTACTCCATGGATTAATGAAGAGAGATGCTGTGAGTTGACTGTGGTTGGCACATGTCCCCTAAACTGCTTTATGTGCTCAATCTCCACTGGCCTGAGGAATGCTCTTTACACACAGAGATCACCTCCTGCACAGTAAACTGCATTAATATGCAGTAGCTGTGCCAAGAGGCTGGCCGTTCTCCTTTATTAATTTAAACATTTTAATATTCTCTATATGCAAAACATAATTAGAATTAATGGACTTTAGTGCTAATGTGGTGCTTGAAGCTAGCTAGTGCATTAATCTTCTGCATATGATAAACATGAATTTTGAATCCTTTTACCACCAGCAAGGCTAGAAGCTCAGCTCAGTCTGCTGATGTAGTGTGTCCAGATAATGATCATATCAACTGACAGAGAGAGGGAATCATCCTCCTTTTGATGAGATAAGCAATTGGTCCTCCAGGGAGGAAATAAAACATGACTGAGTTGGAATGATTGTTAAACAAGATATTATTATTAATCTATGAAGACAGAGCATTGCCACTAGTGGGGCTTCAGTATTCTGTATCAGACAAAGAATAGATATGGGTTTCTACATACCCTCCAACATCCTGTACCCAAATGGTCTCTGACATTTTCCTGATGAAGAATCACCGTTTGCAAGAACTATTAGTGCTTGCACATGGCTTGCTATTTCAAATTGTCCTGGAGAGAGATGAAAAGGAAACATCTGTATTTATGGAATATGTTAAAAATTCAGTGTGACAGCGAATCTGGAAAATAAGGAAAACAACCAAAAAAAAAGGGGGGGGGATTACAGTGTTTACTAAGTTACCACATTGTATATATTGAAATATTTCCTCATTCTTAGAACAAGAAATAATGGCAGTAGCTATGGGCTCATCTACACTTAAGACATTAGAGTGGCACACTGCTGAATCTCTGTAGTGCTTCAGTGTATACATTACTTACACAGACTGTTCTCCCATCACCATAGGTAATCCACATCCCTGAGAGATGGTAGCTAGGTCGAAAAAAAAATTATTCTGTTGACCTAGTGTTGTCTACATGGGGATTTAGGTTAGCTTAAATATAAATATAAATATAAATATAAATATAAATATAAATAAATATCTTGCGATGCCAGCTACAGCAGTGCCATGCGAACAGCTGTTCTCACTTTCAGGTGACGTAAACAAGACATGGGCAGCATTATCTCCTGCAAATTGTAACCAAATGTGTTTGTATGAGGAATTGGCTGAAGTAGGACTGAGTGGACTTGTAGGTTCTAAAGCTTTACATTGTTTTATTTTTGAATGCAGTTATTTTTTGTACATAATTCTACATTTGTAAGTTCAATTTTCATTATAAAGAGATAGCACTACAGTACATGTATTAGGTGAATTGAAATATACGTCTGATGAAGTTGGTATTCATGCCTCTGATGAAGTGGGTATTCACCCACGAAAGCTTATGCTACAATACATCTGTTAGTCTATAAGGTGCCACAGGACTCTGTTGCTTTTTACAGATCCAGACTAACACGGCTACCCCTCTGATACGATTTCTTTTGTTTTTTACAGTACAAATATTTGTAATAAAAAATAAATATAAAGTGAGTACTGTACGCTTTGTATTCTGTATTGTAATTGAAATAAATGTTTGAAAATCCAAAAATATTTAAGTAAATGGTATTATATTATTGTTTAACAGTGCAATTAATCACAATTATTTTTTTAATCGTGCAATTAATCACAACTAATTTTTGTAATCGCTTGACAGCCCTAATTTTATTACAAACTAATAAAACTTTTTTTAAAAACTTACAAACTTTGATAGTTCTGATAGAAAGCAGTCTACAATTTTGCTCCTAGTCTACAGTAACATTAAGGGACCCTACACAATATGTAATTTATATCCTTTTCATATGGAAGTGCCCTGAGTAATTCCATTTTTTTAATATTTAGTCCAGATATTCTGATTTATTGATCATTTTACTTGACTGGGCCCCAATCCTGCAAACACTTGTTCTCAAGTTACTCATGTGTACTTGTGTATGTCTGATGAGAAGCACAGATTGTTAAAGACTATATATGCAGATATATTCACAAAGAAAAACACAAAGAAAACATTTGTTCAATCAATGAATGATCATATATGATAATATTGTCAAATAAATGACAATGGGGTCAGTATCCTAATAGGTTTCTGTCATAACTATAAAGGGAAGGGTAACAGCTGTCCTGTGTATAGTACTATAAAATCCCTCCTGGCCAGAGACTCCAAAATCCTTTTCCCTGTAAAGGGTTAAGAAGCTCAGGTAACCTGGCTGGCATCTGACCTAAAGGACCAATAAGGGGACAAGATACTTTCAAATCGTTAGGGGGGGGAAGGCTTTTGTTTGTGTTCTTTGTTTGTGTGGGTGTTCGCCCTCGGGACTGAGAGGGACCAGACAT